CGAAAGAAGTTCGATGTCAGAAAGAGACTCCAGTGGAGTCGCATCGCAGAAAACGCCACCGAAGTGAAAGCAGTTGGAAAAAGCGCGATCGTCAGGGATCTATGCATTTCTTCTGTGTAAGCGATTGTTGTCTGTGTGTATATGTATGTTTTTTCTACACACATGCACAGCTACTCTGCGTACACCTAGACACATGTACGCGCACACACAGACACATGTAAACATATAAACATACATACATGCATACATACATACATACGTACGTACGTACGTACGTACGTACGTACATACAATCATTCATGCATATACGCGTATAACTATCTATATATATATACATATATATATATGTAATTATGTGCATATATATAGATACCTACATACATACATACATACATACATATATTTACACATACACAGACACGAACACATATATATATATATATACATATACACATGTGGATACCAATACCTATGTATCTCATACAGGTATAGTTTTAGTTCCCGAGATCAACATTACAGGTTTCTTTCACATCGGGTCGCAGTCTAGTTTCTCGAGGAGCAGCTGGAAAGTGAAGCGGAAGAGGAAGCTGATCTCATGGAGAAGTACAACTGCTGGTGCAAGGAGCCTTGTTGGATGCAGAGCCAGCAGGCGCCGTCGCTGATCCTGAGCAGCAAGACTTGCAGGAGAACGGCGAACAAAAAGAGAAGGCTTGGGTGCACAAGGGTTTGTCTGACCGCATGAGTGCAGCGAAGTGTCGCCAGGCCATTCTGGAGGCTCGGGCCAACATCAAGGACGGTTCTGGGGCTTCTTGGAGCCAGCCTTTCGGCAAGGACAGGCGGGAAAAGTGCATCATCTGCTGCCAGGAATGGGAGACGCGCATCACCGAGCTTACTGGCATCAGCTCAACTCTGGCAACAGAGTACAAGAATTTGCCTCTCTGCATGTTTCAGCACACACTCATCAACGTCTGAATCTGGAGCAGTTGCATTGAGCTAGGCAGTGGCCGTGTGATGTGAGTTGTTCCATGAGTCGGCGATGACTCAGCAGTTTTTATTCAGTCCGTGCTGATCTCGCTGTCTGCTGTGAGGCAGCAGGAGGTTGACAAGAACGAGTTGTCATTGGACGAGTCCATGGCTTTGCGCAAGAAGCAGGCGGGTGACAGTCCTTGTCTGCAAATGCGACGGTTTTCTGGGTTTTCTAGTGTCAAGGTGGCGAAGTTCCAGGAGGACGAGCGCGAGATGTTCAATAATCTGAACTCCGTGCCAGATCCGCATAGCACGGAGAAAGCATTCTTCGGGCTCTCTCTAGCTGCGAGGGCACTGCCGTCGCCTTTTTGGCAGCCAAGGTGCGTTCGGCCCAGGTCGCATTGAACACCTCCTCCTTCCCCTCCTTCTTGCCACCCGGCAGAGGAAGGCTTGGCAAGAGCAAGATTCAGCAAGATTGTATCAACGCTGAGGCAGCGGCCAAAAGACACTCCGATCCGTTTGCTCCGAGCAGTGGCGGAGAGGCGACCCCGAAAAGCCATGCGGCATGTCAGAGCAAGAGAGCGCACGAAGGCAAGCGGACTACCTGAAGTCTGAGAACCGTCAGCAGCTCATGGCCTTCTTGCAGGATCCGACCTCAGGCCTGGGCCTGGAATTGACGTCTCGGATCATCACAATCGGTTCAAAGCAGATGAAGGATCTGTACGAGGGGTCATCGACGGACTTGAGACGGACTTCGAGGGCAGTCTGAAGGACGGGTGTCGTCTGGGCCGAGGTCGGTGCGGCTGAACAATGTTGAATGCAGTTCAATTTGCCAGGAGCTGCAGGACGAGGAGCTTCAGAACAAAGCTGCCTACGAAAAGCTCGTCTCGGCCAAGAGATCCCCGACTGATTTGTTGGCAAGGTGCTCCGAACAGCTCCGAAAACCAGGTTGCAGTCATTCGATGTGTGCGAAGCCGAGGGAAAGAAATCGACTCGGCAAAGGTGCAGATCGCAGCCAAAAAGGTCGGGGCACCCATTCTGTCTGCATGCTGTCGCGCTGGCCACCGAAGAGCGCGCCTCAGGGTCTTGTCTTGTTGCTCTAGCGGTTTTAGCAGGCAAAAAAACCCCGGCAGCAATAGACTGTCGTTCTAAGCCTCAGGAGGAGAAGACTGCTGCCGATGAGGAGCGCCTCCAAAAGAAGCAGGCGACCCGACGGAACGAAGAAAGTTCTTGTGAACAAAGTGTGCGAAGGCAGTCAAAGACGCCAAAGGCTCTGTGGAAGAAGATCTCGCCTTCGCGAAGAAGGTTGCATCCTTTGATTGGAGGGTTTGTGCACCAGAGCAGTTTGCGAACGGTGACGTTGCATTGGTGGCATCTCACCCGACTGGCCGCACCAGCAGGGTGTTGCCCGCCAAAGGTGCAGAAGCAGTGCAATGCCAAGGGCCAGGAGTGGGAGAAGCGCCAGAAGATACGCAGCGATGAAATGCAGGCCTTTGGAAAGAACCGTGCAGGTAAAAACATTTGCTAATGATCGAGCACCAAAGCCAATCGTGAAAGAGGTTGAATGGAGACATGTTTGGGACTTCTCAAGTCGGTATGCTGAGCTTGGCGAACTGCTGAGCAGGCAGTCTCGAAGGCCGTTGAGGTTTTGGATTCGGATGATTCCTTCGACCTCTTCGGCAGATGCCTCAAGCAGAATGTGAAGCATCGGGTGGTCCGATGTTAGACCAGGGCACCCGACAGGGTTAACATGATCCCAGCACATCGAGGTTACTGATGCTTGCGGCAGAACTTTTGAAGTGAGGAAAGCAGCAGAGATGGTTCCGCTTCAATTGTGAACGGACCGTCGTCAGCACTCCCGAGATATCTCGGTGACAAGGCAAGACCATGGCACCCTCCTTCCTGCAGCTTGCATCCAAGGAGGCCGCCCCGTGCCCTTCACCGAGGCTTCACCGGGGCTTTGTTTTCGGAACTCCTTATCTTGCAGGCCCCGGCTATGCCACAGCAGATCTACGACAGACTGCTGGCATTGGGAAAAGCGCACGATGCTAGGCTGCAGCAAAGTCTCGTGCTTGGGTTGCAGCCGACAGCAGCCTGGCCTGCCTTTCATAATCTTCGCAAGGACAGCCGTCTGGTTACCCTTTCGCTTCAAGCGAAGGTGGATGGGTTGGCAAAGGTGCCTCGGAGCATGAGACGGGGCTATCCGCAGCCCCTGTTAACGAACGGCTGTGAACAACTAAAAGAGCATGATGACGGGGCTAGATGTAAAGTGGTAGTTCTAGAGACAGAAGCCAGGTCCGAATGACTTCCTTCGATGTACGAAGTCGGCTCTCAGAACTCGATAGTGCGGTAGATTGCAGCAACATGGCAAAGCGCAGCGCCAATCTGCTGGTGGCGGCTGTGGT